GGATTATATCGATTTCGGCGATTTCGCTTTCATTAAGAGAGTGTGTGTGTGTTTGAAATGGCGAAGTCCTCAAAGGAAGGATCCTCGCCTGACACGCCTTCGTTGAGTACCACTGAATTTTTCCTCTTTTTTTGGTCTAAATTCCGTTTGTAGGTGCTTCTGAGCTCAAGAAGCGCAATGCACTCGAGCGCGATGGACGTCATAGCGCGACAGTGGTGGGAGAGCTGGCTGAGCCTCTTTTCTGGTGATAACTGACGTAACCATTGTCTGCTTCACTTCAAGCGCAGCCAGAGGCTCTAGAGATTTATGCACTTTCTCGGTCATCCCTCAGAATATGTGCTATACAAATCGAAAATCTGATGTTTCTCTGCTGGACACACCCGTTTTGAATCATAGGCCTAGGAAGGCTGGCATAAAGCGTAATTACAAAACAATAAACAAAAACAAGCTATACAATTATTTATTTATGTAAAGGCCAGGGTATGTGGTTCATTTGGCCCCATCCCAATCGAATTACTTTGTTTCAATCAACTCTGCGGCTCATGAAGTTCAGAACTGAGGAGTCGACGAGGAAAGGGCGGTTGTCGGCAGTTTTGATAGTTGCCTAAGTAGACGAGGTCTGCGCAATGTACCTGAGGGAGGGCAGCTCGAAAGATTGCGCGCCATATTCAGGGGAAGCCCGAGGTTTAGGACTAACCCTTAATAGTATAGGGAGAAGAGAGAATAGGGAGAAGAGAGAATCGAGAGAGTAGGGAGAAGAGAGAATCCCAGGTGCGTAAGCGATGCTCATTCTCTCCCCGGAATTCGTCTCTCCTCGTCAGGCTAAGTCCTAGTCCTAGTCAGGCGGCAGTCGTAGCCGCTTAACAGACCTGTTGCCCCCCCCACCCGACCGCGGGCACACACATTGACGGCCGAGCAGTTCTTCCTCCTGTTCCTCCTTAGATTAGAGGGAGATCTTTCCGTCTACTGTTCGTCCTATCTCGATGGGCAGGTGAGCTTCTCAATAATCACTGCGGGCTTCGTTTATGGTTGGTAAATAAATAATCAAGCATTTGCCGCGCTGATCAATCCCTTTTTGGGATGCGGCACGCATTCTACTTCCATACATTCGTAGTGGCGTTTGAATGCGATGTGGCCTATACAATGACTTGCGGGGGCCAGCCGATGTACAAGTCAGTGTTTTTATCCTCCCAGACAAGTCTGGTACCAATTAACCGACCCCGGAGGGATGGAAGGCTTGGTTGGCCCGGGCGACTCACGACCCAGGATTTGATCCCCGGACCGCTCGCGTGGTAAGCAGCGCCACTTGCCACTACACCACTTCCCTCCTTTGTGATTAATTGACATTTTCGTTGTTTCGTAAGTCATTTATTTTCAACTTTGATTTTTGAATGCAAAATTTTTTTTAAATTCGTCGTCTACGTTCGCACGCTGCAGCTTAACATTTTTACTCTCATTGAAAAACGATTAATTATAGAGTCCTCGCAAACTCGCAAACTTGCAGACACCTATTGCCTAGCGACCATCATCCTCACGGATTGAGAAACTTGTTGCTTGTGTTCCGTTCTGCCCTCACCTGCTCTCCCAGTCCTATCTGATTCCTTTTTGGCTTTAGACATATTTCTTGTGACCTGGACGTCCATAAACCGCCCTGTCAACCTGAGCCTGACGCTAGTTCTATGTAGAACCGTTTCTGCGATTTCTGCAGGGCAAGGTTTAAACCTTGGCAGGGGTCGAACTCGCGGCTTTTAGAGGTGCAGACATGGGCCTATGGCGGCTTACGTCGGCTCTCCCTGCCTCTCCCAATCCTATCTATCTCTTCATTTATAACTGGAGAAATGACCAAAGAGCATGAGCCACTAGTGCTTACGATCGAAAAAGAAGCTGCATTGGTACCTTTTTTGGGGTCAAGCTCACCTAATGTAAGCAATTTTACGTGAACCTGAGCAGGTGAAGGTGAGTAAGAGCGGATGAACCGCTATGAGGATGAAGTGGGGTGAATGCCTCGGGGAGCGCTCCATCTCACACTCATAATCGGCCCTACGGAGTGCACCCTCGCAATGGCCGCGCCATCACCGCCTCGGGCGCTCTTCCGCGCCAGAATTCGCCATTGAGCCCGTCCACGTGTCTAGAATTGTTTTCCAAAGGGTTGCAAGTCGCAGACGCCACCAGCCGTGCCTACAGCGTTTTCATTTCGTCGTCGTTGTTTCTAATAGAGCCATCGAGTTTCGACGACCAGTCCTTGGCCCAGTCGTGGAGTTGGTTGGCGGTCATCCGCGCGGCATCGCTGCTGCTGCTGCTGCTGCTCGCCCTGCTGCGCTTCAGAAGAGCACCCACAGCTTCACTTCGCAGCGTTGTCATCGGCGAAATTGTGTTATTCTAGCGCGGCTCGCTCCATTCAGTCACCTCCGTCTCTCGGCGCTCTCCACCAATGCCGAGCTCTTTTTGTCCACTCTCTCCCGGGGTGCCCTTCTCCTCTCTCTCAACTAACGCCCTCTCACTCAGAAACTCGCTCTCCTATATTGAAAGTAAATCTCCTCTCTTTCGTTTTGCGACCTGTTGAACATCTCCTGCAACTCGTTCTCGACCTTTTCACTTGTATTGAGCCATTAGTTCTCTTGCAAAGCTTCATTATACCACCACGTCAGATTCACCTACGGCTGGTGAAAGTGATCTCTGTGGTGCGGCATACGTCCAGTTCTCCTCTTGGGGCAATGGTCACAGAGGCTGCAGGCGATGATGAAGCCTAAGAATTAATCTTTGGGTCCAGGCTTAGGCTTAGGCTTATGCTCTCACAACTGATTTATGCTGTGGTGGAGACTGGCCCCTTGGTGCAGTTCGAGATGCTTTCAACGGCTTTCAGTTCTTTCGTATTTTTTTACCGTACTAAATTTGTTCTAAATAGTAGATTATGTTATATTTATTGCATCCAGTGGTAACGAGGACCTGGACAGCTGCGCAATTGCAACTGTGTCGAGCTTTGACGGCTCGTCGCGCAAGTGTTTTCGGGCGAGTACTCGTCCATTTCATGTCCTGCGGAGTGAATGTGTCTCAAATTCCTGAAACTAAGGGGCAGCAGTGGGTGTGGCAAGTGGCACGCTGCCCATTGGTGTGGTCCAGGGATCGAGCCCTGAGAGTGCGTCGCCGCGCAACCGAGCCCATCCTCCGGGGTCGGTTAATTGGTACCAGACTTGTCTGGGAGGATAAAAACACTGACTTGTACATCGGCTGGCCCCCGCAAGTCATTGTATAGGCCACATCGCATTCAAACGCCACTACGAATGTACAAATGGAAGTAGAATGCGTGCCGCATCCCAAAAAGGGATTGATCAACGGCAAATGCTTTATCCTTTATCCTTTACTGTGATAAACATGTCTTGGTTTGAGGAATCGAAGCAGCCAGTCATCCAGCCAGCCGAGCAGCAGCAGTAGCAGCGACTTCGAGTTGGCGAGAATGAACAGCTGACACACACACACCGGCGCAGAAGCGCTGCCAGCCGGCCAGCCAGCCAGCCTCGGCGCTTGGCCGCCCGCCGTTGTCAGATTCCTACGTAACTGGTTACAAAGAGCGATCAGTGGCTAGAACTAAAGCGCCCCGATCCTCTTGAGGTCTTCAACAGCTACGTGCTCGTTCACGCGGCACGTGGGTAACGCTTACCCTCGAATCGCTACGGTAGTTCTTCGCCATTTTTTGCTATTATTGAGGTAATCTCTAGATTATATTCGATTTTTTTTCTTCCAATTACTATTATACTCAGGGAACAGTTGGTTCAAGTTCTTTCCTGTTATTTTTCTCTGATTCCGAAAGAAAAGCAATAAAATCTCGCGAATGGTCGCCCAGGTCATCTGTTAGCACGTCCTCAACAATTTCTTGCCTGCAATTCCTCGCTTTTTTCCGATTTATTGCTATTATACGACCCTGCTGTTCAGTTCAAGACGGCTCGGAGGCATTCTCGGGGCGGAAATAGGGATAGGTGGCACAATAAGAACGCGGCTCCTCAGGACCTTATGGGCGTCAAGGTTGCCTTGGTTAGAAGTATCCAAATGAGTTTTCCCGTACCGCTTATTTTTCCAGTCATGGCCCAGTTACTTGCTTTTATATTGGCGCCCAGAAGCGCTTGACAGGTCCAGTAGTTCCTCTCCTCTTGGTGCAATTTGTTATATGATCACATAGAGATTGGGAGATAATCGGGCGCTCGTGTTTGATCGCCTGGCCCCAAAAGATCGCATACCTTCCCACATGGGACCTTCCCCGTCAACGAATCCTTCACCTAAAAGTCATCCAGGAAAATAAGCTTATAAATAATTGCTGATTCCCCTTTCTTGGGTATGCGCACGGGTTTCTTCCGGGAGAGTGGACTCCCAGTCTTGCCGTGACCATCACCAGAGCTGGAAACTCTGGGGTTCCCCCGTCAGGGCTTCTAGTCCCTCAGGACCCACGTCCAGTGACGAAGAGGTTGGGATTCCCTGTCAGGACCTCTAGTCCATCGGGACTTCTAGTCGGGCCGTGACCTCCAGCGGTGTCAAAGGTCCGAGGACGGGGGGGTTCTAGAAGAACCTTCAACGGTATCAGCGGATAATCGGGGATAAACATCCGTTTTCCTCCCACTCGGGTTTCGCCTCTCGTTTTTTTTTCCTTCTCTTGTCTTCTCTTCACCTCCCAACACACACTCCCCACCCATCATATTGTGCGTTGTAATCTTCTGCTCCGACTTTATTGATCTATCAGCCGAGAGGATTGTTTCGAGTCCGACTCGGGGCCCCGTTTGTCGATAGCTTTCATCGTTCGTTACGAATCCGTCTCGTACCAGAATCTCTTTCAATCGATCCTCCTATCTCCTTCCAGGTAAACCACCGAGACTTCCGCCGGTACGCAGATATCGATCGTTGATTGTCTTTTCGGGGAGAGACTATCTACATATCGATTTCTCGATTTCATTGAATCGGCGTGGCCCTTCACCTATCGATCGTATCGATCGGTGTCTAACTTCCAATGGGAGATGAACGGCGGTCGGTTTGATTTCGATGATGGGGGCACGTACGTGGGAGGCTGGGAGGAGGGGAAGGGTGAGTGTTCAAATTTGACTTCACTTGTCGACGTCGTCTGAATAGGCCATTCTGATCCAGGCTCACGGCCACGGTGTGTGTTCTGGTCCTCAAGGAAAAGGCGAATATGCGGGCGCTTGGCACTACGGTTTCGAGGTAAGGGACCACCTAATTTTTGAGGATGATTTCATGATTTAAATGGTTTTTGCAGGTGTCCGGAGCCTACTATTGGCCCTCCGGGAACACATATCAATGGCCAATGGCAAAACGGGAAGCGACATGGACTAGGTGTAGAACAACGGGGGCGATGGACCTACAAGTAAGAGATTTTGGGGACCCCCCCCCCCCTGACAAGAAGCCCGTCGCGCGGCAAGAAGGCAGAGTTAGTGGACGAGTTACAGCGCGTACTGTAAGATTTCACGTCAAATTGAATAGAATGTACCGTTTAAAAAAATACGTCCTGACATCGCACATTGGCGCTCGGGACTCGTCCACTGACTTGCCTTCTTGCCATCGAAGGGCCTCCTGTCGGAGTACCCAGACATGCCCAAAAATCTTTTCAGATATTATGCCTCGTTTTCAGCAGAGAATGGACCACAGGGTCAGAAGGGACGTACGCTGTACGAAATCGGCCACCTCCAAGCCAGATACAAGGCACGTGTAGCGCGATACCACGACGGTTACGGCACGGAGATCTACGTGGATGGTGGTAAGTACCCCAGCTTGTCTTCTCCTCTTCAACTGCTGCATGTGCTGCTGTTCTGTCATGACTGACTGACTGACTGATTGTGAAGTGTCTTCATGAGCGCGCCCATACATCCGGGGGACAGTTGTCCCGATGGTGTATGCTGTCAGTTAGTTGTGGCGTTCGTTGAGTAATAGACCTTGGACAAATCAATCTCCCACCACATCAATTGCTAAACGAGTTCTAATTTTTCGTATCATTCTAGGCAACTATCAGGGCCAATGGTTACGTGGCTTACGACACGGCTACGGTACTCGACGTAGCGCCACGCATGGCCAGGCGGCTAAACTTCGGCCCAAGTCACATACGCATGCCTCCCTGACGAGTTTACGAAGTGGTCGAGGTGACGAGGAGAATGAAGACGACGAAGAAAGTCAGTCCTAATCAGGGTTTCTGGGTCTATTCCAGTAAGGGGCATGCGGTTGATAGGGCTAAAGGGGCTTGAAACAACGAACAGCGTATTCTTCTAGTGAAGGGGTTTAGAAATAAGCCTTAGAAGGGAGGAAAAACCATCGGGTTCGTAATCAATCTCCGTTTTTTTTTTCGGGGGGACTTCCTCCCATTTCTTAGCTGTTTAGTCCTAGCTGTTACCTAGATAAATATTATTTTATGTCATATATAAAAAATGAGAAAAAGCAACGTAGTATTAAAGCTGTTAGCAGCTCGTAACTTTAAAGTACCCCTTGAGCCAAGCTGGCATTAGAGCAGATTGTGCACCGCAAAGCCCCCTTTACTGGGATTGACCCAAGTTTCTTTTGTGCTCTGAAAAGTTTAGGTTATCATTTATGAAT